ATTGCTATACGCTGGCTATAATCACCAAGCTCTTTTAAGAGCTTGTTCCTGTTTCGCTCTCTGAAGGAAGCCTGGAGCTTTCTTGTAGGTCCAAGGTGGGTAGGAGATGGTGAGACCCCAACCAAGCTGCGGCGGTTCGTTGGGTCTGCAGTGCTTATAGTGTCAAGTGGAGTGCTTGGAGCCCTTGGGAAGCACTAGGAGCATCCATCAACTGAGGTACCCAGTTGGGGTGCCAGGTGATCCGTTACAGGGTGTATTATCAATTATATGGGGTTTTATCGATAATTTGGTGGTGTGAAGAAATTACCCGTGTTATTTGGGTACTTTTGTTTTTTTTCCTGTTCAGTAGATAAAACTATCGAACCCCTGGCTCATTTACTCCTAAGCAAACTGCCAATTTAGTGCTCTTCCTGTGTGGCCGCTGATCGTATAGTCGAATGCCTTTTTTTCACGAAAGGAGGCAGTGGTACTTGGTCATTGAGTGTATGGAACCAAAATTGGACACTCGACTTCCCAAACACCTGTCCAACTTTACGAACGCCTGCTTCCTTTCACCAACCAGCCAGGGGAGCGCTATTCAGTAGATTTGGTCCATTAACTAGGGAACAAATGCTACCTATGAGCCAGGGGGACCGTTCGTGGATTATTTCAGTTTTTGTTCTTGTCGAAATGGACCGACCGCACAGCCCAAATTCATGGAACTATTTCTGGGCTTGAGCATCATATGCAGTCTGTCAAATTAAGAACTCCATATAACTTTTGGACCCCTGAACCGATCTGGGTGATTTTTGCATATGTTGGTCCCCCAGATCGGGACTATCAGGAAATATGTATTGTGTGGTGTTCCCATGGAGTTTGGGGTTTAAGTTTTACCAAAATGTATGTTTTATGTGTTGGGAGATAAGTGAGTTTAGTAAATTGCTTGACTCAATTATCTCCCCAGTACAGGGAAGATTATATTACTGTATGTAGGAGTGTCCTGGACCTGAGAGCCAATAGACTTACAGAATGTATTTTGTCACTGTCCCCTCTCAGGTCCAGTGGGAAATGCCCCTGGAATATGTCAACTGAAACCCTGTGCATTGTTCACTGCATAAAATTCAGGCGGTGTCCGGGCTCCCGGTCCACAACAACGCGTGACCACACCCGATCGGTACGGTCACTTAAGTAATTAACAAGACTTACCCAAGTTGCGCCAGATCACGACCAGATCCACCGGCGCATTCATCCTATGGACGCCGGCCACTGTAAAAGCAGCACAAGATATAGCCCTGCCTCCAGCAGAGTTAGAGGTCACCCAGACGTGCGTATGCGCTCTTTGTGTGGTCGCACAAGTCTGGAGTCAGGTGACCCTTGTCCACCAATAAATGAATGGGAAGGGCTATATAAACTCATTTTTTTATTTCTTCCTTCCCTGTCATGGTTTCCACTCCTTTGGTTATCCGAGAGCATGTTTGGTTTATTGATTCCTGGTTTTTGATCTTGGCTAATTCTGATTATCCATATTTCTGGTATCCCTGACCCTTTGGCTTTCTCTTGTCATTTATGCTCCTTTCTGTGTCCCTGACTATTCTTTCTACGTTAAGTCCAACCATTCTAAGGACCGGTAATGTGTTTTTTTCTAGTTGACTTGATTCTGTGTGTTGGGCCATGACCTCTTCCTGACAGGCAGTTAGCCTGAACAAAGCATTCATTCATCTACTTTCAACTGATGTTTGGATACCGGTCTACTTTGCTGGGAGAATATACTTGGAGGCTGTAATTCGTCAGGAGAAGCATTCGAATCAACCCCCGAACTGCAGGCTATAATCACTCAGGCTCTAGAAGTTCGTGAGAAAGTAGGCGAAAGGGTACCTGCAACACCAGCGTTTGTTACAATTGGTGGCAAGAGGTGGGATTCCTAGCCCGAATCTAAGGCAATAGGTTACCTTTTAGTAATCTGTGTGACACAATTCTACGTGCTGGATCAACTAGTAATCCTGACAGTAACACAGAAGATGGAGGAGAATGTTCTCGAGTTTAGGGACTGCTTGCAGACGCTCACTGACTCTGTCTGGGAGAATCGGCAGGTGGCCCAGTGATTCCAGAAGAAATGGTACGAATAAAGGCGCCCGGAATAGGATTCTAGAAATAGGGCAGAAATGATTAGCTCTGAAGCCATCTAAGAAAGACAAGCTTCAGGCCGCATGGCAGGGACCTTTCCGGGTAGTGCAGCGTATAAGCGATACGGAGATCCTTTCATGTGAACATGCTCAAACCCTACTTCGAGCGGGTGGAAGACATAGCGGCAGTATGTGCCCCTTCATTTGAGGGTAGCGAAGGCCTTCCCCTACCTGACTTGCTTGCATCCGCCTTTAGTACGATTGACCAAGTCAGACGAGGCAAAAGTTTGACCCATTAGAGAAGACCGAAGCCTCTCAGCTGCTCCAGGGATACTGGGAGATATTCTCCGCCATACCCGGTATGCCCCCGCCGTGGTTCACCGAGTTGAGACCAAGGGAGAAACCCCACTACAGCATCAACCATACCGTATCCCTGAGGAAGTTAGAGAAAATATGCTAGTGGAGATCCAGGAATTGTTAAAACTGGGAGTCATTGAACCCTCTCAGAGTCCTTGGGCTTTGCCGGTAGTGCTGGTACCCAAGCGAGACGGCACAACTACCGAAAGCTTAACGACAGGACAGTAACCAACACCTACCCCATGCCCCTACTAGATCGTATGGCTGGGGGGAATTACTTGACTACTCTAGATTTGTGCAAAGGATATTGGCAAATCCCCCTGGAGCCAGCGGCCATTCCTAAGTCAGCATTAGTTACCCCATTTGGGCTATACCGGTTTAAGGTTGTGCCCTTTGGGATGATGAGTAGTGATGTCGTGAACACGAAATTTTCGGTTCGCGAATGGCGAACGCGAACTTCCGCAAATGTTCGCGAACCAGCGAGCCGGGCGAGCCGCCATAGACTTCAATGGGCAGGTATAATTTTAAAACACACAGGGACTCTTTCTGGCCACAATAGTGATGGAAAAGTTGTTTCAAGAGGACTAACACCTGGACTGTGGCATGCCGGAGGGGGATCCATGGCAAAACTCCCATGGAAAATTACACAGTTGATACAGAGTCTGGTTTTAATTCATAAAGGGCAGAAATCACCTAACATTCCTAAATCACAATCAATATGGATTGACACCTGACATATGACATATTGACACCTTGACATATGGATTGACACCTGTCCTCAGAGCCCCTGATGCACACGGACACAGAGCAGAATAGGGACTGTTACCCCTGCATAGGGTCACTTGGCAGATATGGATTGACACCTGTCCTAAGGATCCCTGATACACACTGACACAGAGCAGAATAGGGACTGTTCCCCCTACATAGGGTCACTTGGCAGATATGGATTGACACCTGTACTAAGGATCCCTGATACACACTGACACAGAGCAGAATAGGGACTGTTCCCCCTACATAGGGTCACTTGGCAGATATGGATTGACACCTGTCCTCAGAGATCCCTGATACACACTGACACAGAGCAGAATAGAGACTGTTCCCCTACATAGGGTCACTTGGCAGATATGGATTGACACCTGTCCTCAGAGACCATGATACACACTGACACAGAGCAGAATAGAGACTGTTCCCCTACATAGGGTCACTTGGCAGATATGGATTGACACCTGTCCTCAGAGCCCCTGATACACACTGACACAGAGCAGAATAGGGACTGTTCCCCCTACATAGGGTCACTTGGTAGATATGGATTGACATATCCCTAAGGATCCCTGATACACACTGACACAGAGCAGAATAGGGACTGTTCCCCCTACATAGGGTCACTTGGCAGATATGGCGTGGTCGTGGGAGGAGGAGGATGACTTCACCTCTTCCCCTGTTAGATTCCCGTTGTGCTGTGACATCACCCTTATACGCTGTGTAAAGCATACTTTTAATTTATTTTGCAAATGCTGCATCCTTTCCGACTTGTAATTCGGTAACATTTCCGCCACTGTCTGCTTATACCGGGGGTCTAGTAGCGTGGACACCCAGTACAGGTCGTTCTCCTTCAGCCTTTTTATACGAGGGTCCCTCAACAGGCACGACAGCATGAAAGACCCCATTTGCACAAGGTTGGATGCCGAGCTACTCATTTCCCGTTCCTCCTCCTCACACAGAGCAGAATAGGGACTGTTCCCCCTACACTTGGCAGATATGGATTGACACCTGTCCTAAGGGTCCCTGATACACACTGACACAGAGCAGAATAGGGACTGTTCCTCCTACATAGGGTCACTTGGCAGATATGGATTGACACCTGTCCTCAGAGACCATGATACACACTGACACAGAGCAGAATAGAGACTGTTCCCCCTACATAGGGTCACTTGGCAGATATGGATTGACACCTGTCCTCAGAGCCCCTGATACACACTGACACAGAGCAGAATAGGACTGTTCCCCCTACATAGGGTCACTTGGCAGATATGGATTGACACCTATCCTAAGGATCCCTGATACACACTGACACAGAGCAGAATAGGGACTGTTCCCCCTACATAGGGTCACTTGGCAGATATGGATTGACACCTATCCTAAGGATCCCTGATACACACTGACACAGAGCAGAATAGGGACTGTTCCCCCTACATAGGGTCACTTGGCAGATATGGATTGACACCTGTCCTCAGAGATCCCTGATACACACTGACACAGAGCAGAATAGAGACTGTTCCCCTACATAGGGTCACTTGGCAGATATGGATTGACACCTGTCCTCAGAGACCATGATACACACTGACAGAGAGTAGAATAGAGACTGTTCCCCCTACATAGGTTCACTTGGCAGATATGGATTGACACCTGTCTTCAGAGCCCCTGATACACACTGACACAGATCAGAATAGGGAATGTTACCCCTGCATAGGGTCACTTGGCAGATATGGATTGACACCTGTCCTCAGGATCCCTGATACACACTGACACAGAGCAGAATAGGGACTGTTCCCCCTACATAGGGTCACTTGGCAGATATGGATTGACACCTGTACTAAGGATCCCTGATAAACACTGACACAGAGCAGAATAGGGACTGTTCCCCCTACATAGGGTCACTTGGCAGATATGGATTGACACCTGTCTTCAGAGACCATGATACACACTCACAGAGAGCAGAATAGAGACTGTTCCCCCTACATAGGGTCACTTGGCAGATATGGATTGACACCTGTCCTCAGAGACCATGATACACACTGACAGAGAGTAGAATAGAGACTGTTCCCCCTACATAGGTTCACTTGGCAGATATGGATTGACACCTGTCCTCAGAGACCATGATACACACTGACAGAGAGTAGAATAGAGACTATTCCCCCTACATAGGGTCACTTGGCAGATATGGATTGACACTATCCACAAGGACAAGCTGCAGGCTTCCTGGCACGGCCCATACAAGGTGGTAGAGCAGGTTTGTGATACCACCTTTGTGATCGGTGCAGTCACAGGCACGGGAGGCAAGCGCATGCTCCATGTGAACATGCTCAAGCCATACCACGAGCGCACGGAAGAGGTAACCGCGAACTGTGCACCTGCCACAGATTTGCCACTCCCAGATCTCCTAGACCTACAGGGCCAGAGCGGAGACCTGGGAGAAGTACAGTTAGGAGAACGGTTAGACCCCCAGGAGTGAACCCAGGTCCAAAGACTAATCCAGGACAAGGGGGCCACGTTTTCCAACCTACCTGGTTACAGTCTGTTAACCACTCACAAAATTGAAACCCTAGACCAGACCCCCTTCGCCAAACCGCCTATCGCATACCCGAAGCAGTTAAGAAAATATTCAGAAAGAAATTGAGGAAATGATGCAGTTAGGGGTGATAGAACACTCTGACAGCCCCTGGGCCTCCCCGGTAGTACTAGTACTGAAACGGGACGGCACGACCCGTTTCTGTGTAGACTACCGGAGGCTAAACGATAAAACAACCTCAGACGCCTCGTCTATGCCCTGGATAGACGAGCTCCTAGACAAAATGGCCAGAGGCCAGTACCTCACCACAATAGATCTGTGCAAGGGGTACTGGCAAATTCCATTAGCCGAGGACGCCATCCACAAGTTGGCATTTGTCACCTCGTTTGGCCTGTATCAGTTTAAAGCCATGCCATTCGGGATGAAGAATGCCCCGGCTAACTTTCAGAGGATGGTAGATCGGCTACTGGATGGGTTTCAGGAGTATGCCTGCACCTACTTGGATGATATAGCCATTTTTAGCTGCTCCTGGCCCTAACACCTGACCCACATAGGAGCCGTACTAGACCGGATTAGGGAGACCGGACTGACCCTAAAGCCCAATAAGTGCCATATAGGAGCACGTAAAAACCTCCCCAATATAGTAGTATGGGCCCCAGAGTGTGAACAGGCCTTCCAGCAGCTCAAGACGGCGCTCATTTAATCACCTGTACTTTCTGCTCCTGATCCAACTAAACGCTTTCTCGTCCATACAGACGCTTCTATGTTTGGATTGGGAGCAGTACTGAGCCGAGTCTGAGCAGATGGCGGCGAGCAACCCGGGGCTTATCTAAGCCGGAAACTTTTGCCCAGGGAAGTAGATACACTGCCATTGAAAAGGAGTGCCTGGCGGTGGTGTGGGCCTTCAAAAAGCTGCAACCTTACTTGTATGGACAACCGTTTACGTTACTCACAGATCACAACAAATTTGGGGCACTGCGCGTGCAATCTAATGTGCCACCAGATAGGAGTGGTGTGTTAAGTAGTACTATTCTTATCAGTTTAATCCCTGTTACGTCCCCTATCCGCTGATGTGGAGCAAGACGCAGCAGCAGAAGAGGACTCAGCCGAGGAGGTTATGGAAGAGGATGGAGTAGGAGGAGTAGAGGAGGTGGCAGCAGGCCTGCCTGCAAGTCATGGCGGTGTCACCAACTCCTCTGCAGAGCCACGCATTCCATGCTTGGCAGCCGTCAGCAGGTTTGCCCAATGCGCATTGTAGGTGATATACCTGCCCTGACCATGCTTTGCAGACCAGGTATCAGTGGTCAGATGGACCCTTGCCCCAACACTGTGTGTCAGACATGCCATTATTTCCTTTTGCACAATCGAGTACCGGTTGGGGATTGCCTTTTGTGAAAAGACATTTTGTCCGGGTACCAGTGAGTGAGTGGTGGCACTGGGCACAGTATCCACTGTGAGCCTGACACACCCGCTGGCAGACAACTAACTGCTATTCAATCTATAACAGTGAAAAAAGTTTTTTGTTTTTAAATGCAAGCTATTATGACACCAGATATGAGTGGCACTGTAAACTGGCAGAGTACACACTGTAGGGCTGACACACCCGCTTTGAGACAACTAACTGCTATTCAATCTATAACAGTGAAAAAGTTTTTTGTTTTTAAATGCAAGCTATTATGACACCAGATATGAGTGGCACTGTGAACTGGCAGAGTACACGCTGTAGGGCTGACACACCCGCTTTGAGACAACTAACTGCTATTCAATCTATAACAGTGAAAAAAGTTTTTTGTTTTTAAATGCAAGCTATTATGACACCAGATATGAGTGGCACTGTGAACTGGCAGAGTACATGCTGTAGGGCTGACACACCCGCTTTGAGACAACTAACTGCTATTCAATCTATAACAGTGAAAAAAGTTTTTTGTTTTTAAATGCAAGCTATTGTGACACCAGTGAGTGAGTGGTGGCACTGGGCACAGTATCCACTGTGAGCCTTACACACCCGCTTTAAGGACACTGACTGCTATTCAATCTATAACAGTGAAAAAAGTTTTTTGTTTTTAAATGCAAGCTATTGTGACACCAGTGAGTGAGTGGTGGCACTGACTGGGCAAATGGGCACAGTATCCACTGTGAGCCTGACACAGAAGCTGGCAGCAGTGGCAGACAACTAACTGCTATTCAATCTATAACAGTGAAAAAAGTTTTTTGTTTTTAAATGCAAGCTATTGTGACACCAGTGAGTGAGTGGTGGCACTGGGCACAGTATCCACTGTGAGCCTGACAGAGAAGCTGGCAGCAGTGCTGGCAGCAGTGGCAGACAACTAACTGCAATTACATTACACGGAAAAAAAAAAAGCAGACTGATGTTCTAAGGGCTTTTTGGGGTGCTGTCCTTACAGCAGAGATCAGATGAGTCCTTCAGGACTGTAGTGGACACTGTATACCCTAACCTAGCTGTGCATTTCCCTATCTAATCAACAGCAGCTACACTTTCCCTCCTCTCACTAAGCATGCAGCTTGAGAATTAATCTAAAATGGATGCTGTCCAGTAGGTGGGAGGGTCTGCTAGGGAGGGTGTGCTGCTAATTGGCTGGAATGTGTCTGCTGACTGTGAGGTACAGGGTCAAAGTTTACTCAATGATGACGAATAGGGGGCGGATTGAACTGCGCATGTGTTCGCCATCCGCGGCGGACGCGAACACGCTATGTTCGCCGGGAACTGTTCGCCGGCGAACCGTTCGGTGCATCACTAATGATGAGTACCCCAGCTACCTTTCAGAGGATGACCGATAGGCTCCTGGAGTGATTTCAGGACTTCGCATGTGTGTATTTAGATGATATTGCCATCTACAGCCGCACATGGGGAGACCATCTGGAGCACCTATCTAGGCTATTGACTCAAATCCAGGCAGCGGGGCTCACTCTGAAGCCTGATAAGTATCACATTGGTATGGACGAGGTACAGTGTCTTGGCCATAGAGTAGGTTCAGGCAAACAGCAAACCTGAACCTGCCAACCTGCCATCACTAACTGACCACAACCCGCCATTTAACCTTTTCCACCATTAAAACAACCGAATGGCCGACCACCTTACAAGTGGAGTGTGCTTCCAATTGACCACCGGGAAGCTGCGGTCTGCGGTTAACCACAAGCCTAATGGACTGCCTCAAGGTGGCCTTGTTCAGATAATAATTAACCGAACTGAAACTTCCAAAAGACTCAAGAACGAGGACCACCTACACCCAGGCGTGTGGCCCCAATTAGAATGTTGGGTCTGCGGTTAACCGCAAGCTAAGTACCCCCACTCATGGCTGTCTCGGTTCGGCTCACGAAGGGCTGGGACAACCATCCACTGAGCGGTATTCGTGCAACTGTTCATCCGTTACTCGCTCCAGGGGTTTTAGGGCCAGGTCCCGCTCTCTATTCACCCGCCTGAAAACATGGCCACCATCTTGTGTTCGGGACAAAAAGGCACGAAAGGACTTTGTATTGAAAAGACTGGCTATACCGTTTGTGAGATCTGAGCGCTATTCGCCTATCTGCTCAGATCTGGGCTATCCAACGAATGGTAGAATATAAAATGTGTCTATTAAAATGTTACAGTTATGTATTTTTATACTGTTTAACCTGTTATAATAACACGTGGGATTTTGGGGACTTGGAGATAATTAAATTGCCATAACTTCTGTGACTGGTAAAATATTTGAAAGGTTATTAAGGAATAATATTCAAGAATTCCTTGAGAAGAACATGGTCATCAGCAAAAATCAGCACGGCTTTATGAAGCACAGGTCATGTCAAACTAACTTGATTGCGTTCTACGAAAAAGTAAGTAGAAGTATAGATCAGGGTGTTGCCGTGGATGTGATCTATTTGGATTTTGTCAAGGCATTTGATACAGTTACACACAATAGATTAGTGTTCAAACTCAAGGAAATCGGTCTAGATGAAAATGCTTGTTCTTGGGTAGAACATTGGCTTAAAAACAGAGTACAAAGAGTTGTCATTAATGGTAAATTTTCAAGCTGGACAGAGGTGGCAAGTGGTGTCCCTCAGGGGTCTGTTCTGGGACCCCTTCTATTTAACATGTTTATAAATGATCTTGAAGACAGCATTGGAAGTCATGTTTCAGTGTTTGCAGATGACACAAAACTTTGTAAAATAGTACAATGTGAGCAAGGTATTACTTTGCTGCAGAGGGATTTAGATAGACTAAGGGAACGGGCACTCAAATGGCAGATGAAATTTAATGTTGAAAAATGCAAAGTTATGCACTTCGGCGTAAAGAATACACAAGCAACGTATACCCTTAATGGAAGCGAATTAGGGATAACAACACATGAAAAGGACTTGGGAATTGTTATAGACAACAAACTATGCAACAATGTGCAATGTCAATCAGCAGTGGCCAAGGCCAGTAAGGTATTGTCATGCATGAAAAAGGGCATTCATTCTCGGGACAAGAATATCATTTTGCCTCTTTATACTTCACTTGTAAGACCCCATATTGAATATGCTGTGCAATTTTGGGCACCTGTTC